ACTCACTGCACAAGACGCTGCTACCTACTGCCGTGCCAGATGGGATGCACGGATGGGATGGGAGCCATAGGGAACCTGCACAAAGACATGCTCTGCTTTCTGAACGAGACGTTACAATGCAGACAACTTGTGGGACCTTCCCTCTGCATCTTTATTCTGGGCACATCCTATGTGGGCTCTAAAACGGTTTTGTTTCTTGTACCATTTGGCCCAGCCTATAAGGTCCCTCTGTTGTGCTGCTTTCTCACAGCATCACCTGCTGGCTGCCCAGGGCCCCTCTCTGGGTGGCTGCCAGTGAGTCACATCCTGCCCTCAGGCACAGCCCCTGTCCCTGCCACAGAGCTGGGGGCTTTCCCTGGGGCACAGGCACGCAGGCACCATGAGAAGGATGCTGCTGCTTCTGCTGCCACTTGTGGCCCTGGCTGAAGCCTGGTTGCATCCATTCCCCTCCCCATGCCGGCTCCACTTGCAGCAGAAGCACAGGCTGTCCTGCGTACACCTGCGGGCAGCAGGCTGGCAGTGCTTGCTGCCTTTTCTCTCCTTCTGATACACGGACATGCACAAGTGCTGCTGCAACAGAGTCCACCATCTGTTACCAGAACGAGATCCAGAACTGTGAACATTGAGTGCAAAGCCGAGGGCATTTCAGAATGCCTACATCCACTGGTACCGACAGCTGCCTCCCAGAGCTCCTGAACGGCTCCTTGCTGTGACAGCAGAATTACAAGTTTCCTATGATTCAGAATCCGATAGGAGCAAATATTTGTCCTATAAAAGTGAGAATAAAGTCTGCACTCTCTCAGTTCACAGCACACAGGACGGAGATGAAGGTACCTACTGCTGTTCCTACTGGGAGTCTCACAGCGGGAGCAGCCTGCAGGCAGCCCTTACAGAAAGCTGGCTGCAACCTGTGCGGCACACTTTGATACAAGTGCCGAGAAACACAGCTGCCTTCCTGCCCCCATCTCTCAGCCTTCAAGGCATCCCCACAAGCTTAAGCAGAGGAAGGAATTCCAAGACGAAAGCCAAGACACTTATGTGGCACTGTCTGTGTCACTATTCTGTGCAGTCTGAATCCATCGTTTCCTCTCCTTACCAGCAGCCATCCTATCCCTAATGTTCACTTTTTCAATGCTGGAATGGCAGCACTAAGGGACTTGATGCAAAATGATGGATCTGTCACAAGGAAACTGGCAGTAGAGTTTACAGAACATGTCCTGACATGTGGTCTGTAGTGCATGCTGCAGTCGACAAAGACCTGGAGAAGATCTCTTAGTCAGAGATGGGGGAACATACCTCTGGAAAGAAGATGCGGTGGCAGGGGTGCTGTTTGTGGAGACAAACAACATCCAGGGTTGATGCAGATGGCTGAAGAGGCCATGGAGTAGTTCCAGGCATGAGGAAGTCAGGAGTTCACCATGAACTAGTCGATTTGTGCTACAAAGCAGGCACTTTCTAGGAGGGACTGATGAAAGATGCTTCTGGGACAGAGCTGAGGGTCTGAGGAGAGCAGAGTGACCTGGGGAAGGGCACAGCTGAACAACACTGCTTTCTACATGTGTGCTTAACAAGATATATGGGTAAGATGAAATGGAATGTAGCAGATAGATAGATATAGATAGGTGTAAACAAAACAGTTGCTGGATTGAATATTTTAGGTCCTCTCTACGGAGAAAGAATTAAGTCGGATGTGGGGACACATTTTGAAAGTTCCCTTGCAAATATTTGAGCCAAAGATCTTGGCATCCAGTGGACTGATCTCATATTCCCTTGCATGCGCCAGCTGCTGGTAAAACCCAACTACAGCGGGTTGTTGAAACCGATGTTGAAGGCAATGGGGGGAGGAACATGCAAGCAGTGGGAGAAGCATTTGGCAGAAGCCACCTGTTGGCCAGCGCTCAAGATCAGTGAGCCTAGAGAGGTGCAGTGGAAATGCTGATAGCACGAGGCATCTGACTGTGAGGACTGATGGGAGCTGCTGAACCACAGCCTGAGCCTCTGGTCGATCACCTGAGGCGAGCACTGATCAGCCCTGGGAGCACAAGGGAAGGCAATGTGCTGTGCTACTGGAAGGGAGGGAGCCTGGCTGCGCCTCTCCTGGACACCATTGAAAAGCTGACTGCCAGCGGGGAAGGGTCTCTGCTGGAGATCGCTCCTTTGGAGCTTTCCAGGGAGCCCAGGATAAGGGTAAGCACGTTATCTAATCTTTTCAGTGTCACAACCTGCTTAGTCAAACTCTCTTGTATATTTCATAATTATAGCACCTGTATCATCGTTGATTATACAGAAAACTAAAGGTTTTCTCAAATGAGAATGTAAGACAACAGAAAAGCACTCCAACTCACTGTCCCATCACAAGATTGTTTATTGGAAGAGTCACAGAAAAACATTTATTTATATATTATGTAAATAAAATAATATAATATATTAATTTACATTGAATTAAGGCATAAGTAAATAAATAATATATTTATTTATATTTAATTAAGGCATGTAACATCAGAATTAACTTTGATCCCATGGAATTAAGGCATATGCCTTCAGAATTAACTCAGATCCTATGGAATTAAAGGCATATGCCTTCAGAATTAAGATAGACCCTATTAAATTAAAAGCATTATGCCTTCAGAATTAACTTAGATCCTATGGAATTAAGGTATATGCCTTCAGAATTAATTTACAGGCTACATAATTAAGGCATATGCCTTCAGAATTAACTTAGATACTATAGAATTAAGGCATATGCCTTCAGAATTAACTTAGATTCTATGCAATTTACGCATATGCCTTCCGAATTATTTCAGATCCTATGAAATTGAGGTATATGCCTTCAGAATTAACTGACATCCTGTGGAAATAAAGGCATATGCCTTCAGAATTAAGTTAGATGCGATGGAATTAAGGCATATTCCTTCACAATTAACTTAAATCCCATGGAATTCAGGCATATGCCTTCAGAATTTACTTAGATCCTATGGAATTAGGCATATGCCTTCAGAATTTACTTAGATCCTATGGAATTAGGCATATACCTTCAGAATTAACTTAGGCCAGGAGGTAGGGCCTGAAAGGGGTCGGAGCTTGGAGAACGTCCACAGCAATTTCTGTCTGTAGGCCATCCCTTGAGCCCAAAAGGGAAACGTGTTCCGAACCCCTCCATCACCTCCTTGAGCATCCAACACCGGCCAAGCGATTCCAAACATCACGGTGGGGCAGGGGGGGCAGGGAGGTGCCTTCCGACCCAACGGTGCTGAGATTCTATGATGTGATGAAGAAAATCTTCCGTGCGTCATAGGGAGAGCTGAGGCTGAACTGTGGCCGGCCCTCCTCTCGGGTCCAGAGCGGGGAGCACGAAATCGCCCTCCGTGGCCCTGGCTGCTGGGCGTGCCCTGCTCATGGGCCCGCTTTGCCCCTGCCCTCTGTGACATCACAGCTGCCCTCTGTGACATCACAGCTCGCCAAGGGCTGTAGCTGTCAGAGCCCCAGTGGGCTCAGAGCTTTTGGGACTGCGGTGCTGAGAGTGCTGCTTCCAGGGCTCACCTTTGCTGCGATGGCGAGCAGAAGGACTGCGAGCACAAGGCATTCCAGGGCATCTAGGAGCCCCACACGGAAACGGGCTGTCGGCAAGGGCCAGCAGGTCCCCGCTGGGGACACATCAGTGCAGGGGCAAAGGTACGAGGCGGGGGGAACCTGCCAGGGGCATTGGGCCGGGGGCAAGCGCGCACACAGCCCTCGGTGACCCGGGCAGCGCAGCAGCCGGGGGAAGCCTCTGGTTTGACGCCTCTGGTTTGACCCTGCTGGAGGCCAAGGCTGGGTGGTGCTGAGAGGTGGCTCAGGCTGGCAGCCGGGACGGCGGAGCAGAACGGAGCTGTGCTGCCTCAGGCAGGACACCGCCACTGCGAGCCTGGAAAGCCCTGGGTGCGGTGGGGAGTGCGGGGACCCCAGAGAACAACCGCCACCCGTGCTGCCCTCTTGCTGCAGCCGGGACGGCGCCGGGGGGCAGCCCAAGGCCCGTCCTCTGGGAGGGCCTCTGCGGAGGCTGCTGCTGCCTGCCTCGGCTCTCACACGGTGGGACTGGTGCTCAACCAGGTTCTTTCCTCCCGCAGAAGCCTCAGTGCACCGGTGGAACTGAGCGGGCCTTTACCAGCATCAGGTCCTGCCTCTGCTGGCCGACGGCGTAAAGCAGCCAAGAGAATTAGAAGACGCCGGGCTGCTGCTGCTTCACAGCACAAGATGAACCTCGTCAGAGAGTTCGTCGCACTGTCTGTGATGCTTCTTGGTGAGTACCGATGAGCAAACACCCTGCAGCGACCACGGGGCTGTGCTGGATGAGGTCCGTGTGAGCAGAGGCCTTCAGAAGCACTGGAGCACCAGCGCGGCACTTCTGCCTTCCTATCCTGGCCGCCTGCTTGCTCCACAGCTGCTCTCCACCACTGGGTCCCACTCAGCCCGAGAGCTGCTGCGGTCCCCCCAGCGTTAGGATGCGGACCGAGGAGGACCCCACGGCCCCAGTGCTGCTTCTCGAGGACATCCTCGAGTCGGCCTTGCTTTGACCTCCCTGTAGGTCTGGCGTTCTGCCCGCCATGCTGCTTTTGGTGCAGCCGGGTGCAGCCAGGGGAAATGGGAGCAGCGCTGGGGCACCGAGCTGCACCACGGGGCCGCGGGGCTGCAGTGCCCTGAAGGCCGTGGGCAGAGACATGTCCTCAGTCCGCACCATTCCCAACATTCTCTGCCCACCCGCGGTTTCCCAGGCTCCTAGGAAAAGCCAGCATGAGCTCAGCACCAGCAGCAACCCCTGCACTGATGACCTTCTCTCTGTCTTTCCCCTTGCAGTCGCTATTCGGGTGTATTTCACTGCGTCTTCGTGGATACGCCTGATAACAGAGGAACACATGGAGGCACAGGTCAGTGGCCGTGGGCTCGGGCATCCTTCCGCAGTCCTGGCCTCTCGTGCCGGCCAGCACGGAGCTCACAGCCCTCGGGACGCGGCTGGCCTTGCGTGTCAGGCATCCAGGTGCTGGCAGTCACGCTGAGCTGCGCGCTGACGTGGCCGCGTGCTGACATGGTTTCTTGTCTTTCCAGCGAATGCTGTCTGAGCTGAGAGCACAGGAGAAGTGCTATCAGATGCCTGACTGGGCACAGAAGGGCTTTGGTGAGGACACAGGCAGGCAAGCCCTGCTCCCCTCAGCTCCTGCACGTCTGCTGACTCTTGCACTCATCTCCTCCCCATCATTACAGGTGGTACCATCGACCTGCAGAGAACTTCTCCTACCTACACATTGAAGTGCTGGTTTTGCTGGCTCCGCAGTTTCATCGTCCCCGTGAATCCTCCGGATATCATCCTGCAGGTATCGTGGCGGCCATCAGCAGCGCTGCTTGCACCCCTCGCTCCCCCTCGGGGGTCTCCCCTCAGGCCCGGCGCGTTGCTCAAGCCGTGAAGCCAAAGGTCCGATACGGGGCCGGGTGTGCTGGAAATCGGTGCTTCCCCTCACGAGGCGCCTGAGCTGAAGTGCTGAGTGGGGCCCACGCTCCTCAGTCCCAGCCGGCTGAGAGATCTCCTCCCCGCCGACACCGCAGTGCCACAGCCATCCCAGCTGTCCCTCTGTGGGCAGAGCTGGGGGCCGACGGAGCAGTGCTGGAGAGAGACGGTCCCACTCTGACGCTTTCCCAGCCGCCATCTTCCCCTTTGCGCTGACACTGAGAGCCCCTTTGTCGGGCGGGCAATTCAGGCCCAGTGCTTCTGCCCCATTCCTCACACGTGAGCCACTCTCAAGCAGAAGTACGGCCCACAGACGCTCGCTGCCTTTGCCCTTAGCTGAACCGGGAGCGCGGTGGCCCCAGCGCTCTCTCCTAATCCTCTGCTCTCCCATTCTGTTTGCAGCCGGGCATTTCACCAGGGCAGTGCTGGCCCATGGAGGGACATCAGGGCCAGGTTGTCATCCAATTGACAGCAGAAATCCTGCCCTGTTGTGTCATTCTGCAACACGTTGAGCCAGGGCTGACTCCAACTGCCTTCACCAGCAGTGCCCCGAAAGCATTTGCTGTCTTTGTAAGTCACTACTTTGCCCTTTTGCCTGGGATCTGGGCACAGGACAATGCCGGAGCAGGGACTGGCTTGCTTTTGGGCATCCTCAGAGCCCTGTGTCCCGCCGCCTGCCGAGCACTGCAGTGCCCCAAGGGGATGTTTCCTAAGCTGGAGAGCTGGAAACCTTCTTAAGCCTTGCTGGGCAAGCATCTCGGGGTTCCTGAGCAAACCTCGAGGCG